TGGTCGGATACATGAGCCTGCATCTGCGCCACGTTCATAATGTTCCTGATCATGCGTTGGAAGACTGACATTGCATCACAGGTTGTAAGAAGTACTTGGTCGCATACAGACCCAAGAGGAAGTTCCTTTAACAATTCTCGTCCTGTTAGCCGCCTTCCTTTGTTGAATGCATCTATGTATTCATAATCATCTACACTGAAAACCATAGAAGGAAATTTAAATATATAGTCAATTTATATACCTAAGAGTTATCAGAATAAAAATCTAATTCTTAAGTCAATCAAAACATTCCAGATTCCCCTGACTGTCCTTTAGTCAATTAGTATCAAGAAGAAAATATCTGTGAAAGATAATGAAAACAGAGTAATATAATGAAGAGCAGCTCTTTCATGATTTCTTGTCATTCTCATATAAAGATGCAATTCTAAAGATTTCATATTCCTTACAGAATAAAGATGTGAAACAGAAAACTAAAAATACTTTCAAATCTATCTTTTCCTCACTTTTCTTTCATGAAAGAAGTCTTTTGAACAAAAAAAAATTCAAAGCATCATAGTACAATCACATTTAAAAAATCTTTATTAAAGAAATGTAACAATGAAAAAAAATGTACCAGCAACAAGAAATCACAGGTGAATTCCTTTCATCTTGATATCAACTCAAGACTAAAAAACAGGTAGATGCCAAGCTTGGAAAACATAGAAAGTAAATTTTCCTCTTTGGACTGGTAATCCCTTTTGTCACCCTGGAGACAGGTGAAAAAAATGGTAATTCAAAAAGCATATGAAAGACAAAATCAAGTAAGCAGAAACAAAATTGCCTACCTGGGCATCTTCCATTTCATGACAAAGTGTGATGGGTAGTTTACAGGTTCGAGCAATATGCCGAGGCGGTGGCATACAGCCATATATATAATGCTTAGTGAGATCGGTATACCTTTCTTGGAAGTGAGCACTTCATTTATTAATGAATTCTTGAGATTATAATAATCTTCACTGTTACCAGTCATTTCATCTGGAAAACGACAAATTAAAATATACCAACAATGAACATCTGTGTAAATCTCATATATACAAAATATCAAGATTATAAAAGCCAGAACATGACAAAAGTGTACTCCTAATGCTTAAATCCCACAAGTATTAGGTATCATCAAGCCAAAATCATTACAGAAGTACAGGTGTACTTATGTAGTGAAATGAAAATGAAAGAATACAGAAGAGCTACTATAGGCTGGAATGGAAGTTTGGAAGTTTGATAATTTGCATAATTCTATTAAAAAACCCTATTCTATTCTGAAAATAAGAGGCTATCACCATTCAGAATGTAATCATACATCAGTTTCTAAGTCAATCATATTATTATTATTCTCCTTTTTAGGCTTACTTGATAATAAAGGATGTGATTAATACACTTAAACAGCTGCATTGTCTTCTCATAGGACCAGCGCGATTCCGTTAGGACTTCTCCAGGGGGTGTTAAGGGCACAGAGAGGGCTGGATGATCAGGGTGGTTAATTCGCAGCTGTTCGCAGGCACTGCTCAGCTATATCGTCAATCACATTGGTCATCTACATTGGAGGGGGAAAGGAAATGCATATGCTGTAGTAATTTCCTTTTAAACCTTATATCAGTATCAGTTTTAAAATATTATCTTTCCAAACTGTAACTTAGCTTTATCCCAATGCTGCTGAGGATGACATGCCATCCCCACTCCAGAGTTTACTTCTATACTGGCTTTTTACATATAGATGGCTCTTAATTCACCAGAGTCAGTGCTTCAATCTCAACCTTCTCCCTTCTCCTTGGATTTTGGAAATATTATTAAAACTTATATTTGCTATTAGTAATGTTAATAACATTATGATAACTATAATGTCATTTTTCCTTGGCAGAATTGAATTAACGCTCTATTAAATTATGATTCTGAAAAATTTGGCCTATATCCTTTTAAAAGTTAACAACCACAAATTATTCTATCAGTATATATTCCGAATAAATATATGAGTAGAACCAAACCTGGGAGAAAATAAAAAAAAACAAAAACCATATCCTTTTTACTGGTAATGTTTTTATGCTATGTCAGCGTGTGGCTAAACCACGAGCCATCAGGATTGGCCCACTTCAAGGCTCTGCTCAGCTGATGGACGGGCAACAAACTCCTCCCATTCGCGCTGCATGCTCCTTGATGCACATGACTCACTACTCTTAAAGCATGAGTACTTGTTGTCATGTTGTCAATCTGGGGGGAAAAAATAGATTTTCAATTTCATTTATGTGCTCTCAGTATAATAATATTTGCTATACTAACCCCCAACTGCAGTTCAATCCAAAATAAATCTAATAAATTCAGGAACTTTTTACAGCTGTAAAGACATTTCAAAATTAAAGAAAGACATACATATTCCATCTGCATGCTACATGTAGTGCAAAAATGACGCAGACAAACATGGTTCAAACATGAGAAGGTCAATATGTGTAAAGTAATAACATGTGCAAAACCACAGCATGTATTAGTTTGTTAAAAATGAACCAGAAGACTATAACCAGTGTTTTCTTTTCTTTTCATACCGACTTAAATAGTACTACATACTCTCATATTGAAATTTTTACCAAATTCAATTACAATCTTGTTCTGTCTACATCAAACCATTCTTCATCAATATTATGATGAGGAAATGGTTGAAAAAATTACTAGATTTTTACAAAAAACAGTCGTACAGAGTTTTGAAAGAAAATAAATATCTAAACTATTTTGATCTTTTTATCAATATTGTTCTTTAATTTAGTGGTTATAACAAGACATACTGGACAAATGCCATCAATATAAAATGTAAAGCCAATGGCCTTTGTTATAATAGGAACCCTCCTTTTCTTGGTTTCATATTAATAACTGATTGTCATGACCACCAACCTCAGTCAACCTAACAGGATTATATTCTAAAAGCATAACTGAACTTAGTCCAAGTCAAGTGAAAGAAAGTACAATAAATCATAAATAAAAAGATATATACATACAAAGAAATGAAAAAAAAAAGAAGAAATCCAACTACGACCTACATGGCCCTTCTGGTGAGAATTTTTATCAATTGCAGGTATACTCTCTGCCAGTTTGGCCCTTGGGTTGCACAGGTGGTACGCCCGCTGCTGTTCTACCTCTGGCTCAGTCAGGTTTTCGTTGGATGCCTTTATTGCAAAAATTATCTTTAACAAGCAAATATTATAGTCCCCTTTTATTGCAAAAGTAAATGGAAGCCCCCAGTGTGTTATGGAAAGAATATAATGCTAAATTATAAGTTTAAAATTTCCTACTCTTTATGACAGTCAGCTCAAATGTCCATTAATATAGTCTGACAATGAGAATGAAACATGAAATAACCTAAGTTTGACTGATAAACAAACTAACCTAGAAATCAGCAGTCACTGATTACTTACTAGACCCACAAAATATTGTGGAAAGAAAGGTGCAGATAAAAAGAACACTAACAATACACAACAAATATATACATGGTAAAAACTTACTGTTCTCCATACATCACAATCGTCTCAATATGTTAGTGATATATTATTGGGGTGTAGGTGCCAGAAGAGACCCGGGCATCGATCTCCGCATAGAATGGGGTGTGAGGTGCAGGTGTGTTGGTAGAGACGGGCAGGCTAAGGCTTGACACCAACTTGTTCACGTCTACCCCAACTGCTTCATGATCTGCACCTCTTGTCTCCAGTCTTGGATTCCGTGCTTGCTTGGCGCTGGTCCGCACACTTTGGGGTACTCTTTGGAAATAAACAAAAAAAGTTAAGTTTTCAGATATAAATACGGATAAAACCCAAAATAAGTGGGGAAGCTTATGAGCTTTTAAATGACTTTTTTTTCTTTTTTTTTAACATTATATATATATATATCTATGAGATATATATATATATATATATATATATATATATATATATATATATATATATAAACATATATATTATATATATATTATATATTATATTTATATTATATATATATATATATATATTCTGAGATATATATATATATATATGAATATCTAAATTTCCTTTTGTGATAGATCATTTGAAAGCCTGCACAAAAACCTTAATTAATGGCCATTGTATTAG